ATGAAGTAATAATTTTATGACAAATAAACCAGGGAGTAAAACTGGCTGTGTCTATAGTATTAAAGACTACACAACATTATTATATTATCTTTAAATAAATTTTTAAATGATTATTATTTTAAATTATTGTCCCTGGATTAGTAGGACACTCTTGTAATACAATCTGTTCGCTACCACCGCTACTTTAAGTATCAGTTCTGCTTAAAAAGATGCAATCTAATCCTGTTTACATGAAATAAGCCTGCTCCCGAGCAGGTTTAAGATTACGGACCTGTTGCTATGACAGCAACTCCGGGATGAGCTTCGAAGAACCAAACAATCCAAGATCACGCCAAATCGTCAACAATCAAATCCAGCTAACTGAGTTAGCGACGTACGAAGAACGGGCCCCAGGGCAGTATTTTGATTTTCTGTTGTGATTATGGAAAATGTCACCATTGTATCTCATTTATGCTGCATCGAGAATTGCAAAAGTAACTCCAATCTCTTTTCTCTGTGCAAAAACACCAAGGGAAGCAGGTCGCAGAGATGACGAGAAGACGCCGGATAGTAAATCTATCAATAATGTCACTGATTAACCCAGTGACTGTCACTCAATAAAAGAATCACATTGCTGCGTGTCTTTGAAAGTTTTGATTTTGTTTGGTTTAATAATTAACATCACCTTCGCAAGTATGACTCTCACTCGGCTTGTGAATTAGCAGAACTTGAACAGGGACTTCAACACACTGACTGCATTGACTGCTTAACACAAATAACATTTCATGTGGCTTAATGTACCAAGACAGTGATAAAAACAAAATTGTAAAGCATATACTATGTGCAGATATGCACATAAGCCCAAAATGTGAACGCAATGCATTTATTTACACGTTAAGCATTTTCCTCTCATATAAAGAATGCTTAATGTACCGAGACAGTGATATTAAAAGACAACATTCTGTACACACCTTACTAATAAAGCATTATAGGTGTAGAAAAACTGATGAACCCAAAATATGAACTTTAAATAGTCAATGCATAAGCGTTTTCTTCATTACGATTTTTTTTAAATGATATATTTATACATTTCAAAATACATTACAAAAGAATTCAAACATTCCAAGAACACTTAAATATGTAGCAGTGAACAAATGCATCAAATTATATTTTTCAAAATTTTTTTTGAATAAATAAATAAAACACCCAGTGCAATCCTACATACAGCAAATACAGTTCTACAGTATTGTATACAATACATACAGTTCTACATGAGCTATGTGCTTGCTGTGCTCTATCTTTGCCAAAACTGGTCCAGATATGTTTTACGATAACTGGGCCACATTTGCACCATTACATGTGGGCCACTTTTGGCTCACACCCAGATGAGCCAATTGTTAATGTGCCATATATTTGCCAAAACTGGCCCAGATATGTTTTACGATAACTGGGCCACATTTGCACCATTATATGTGGGCCACTTTTGGCTCACACCCAGATGAGCCAATGTTTAATATACCATTTATTTGCCAAAACTGGCCCAGGTAAATTTTAAGATAACTGGGCCACATTTGCTGCATTATATGTGGGCCACTTTTGGCAATAGAGGGGTTAATGTGAGCTAGCCTGTTCTTAGACCAATGGGCCCTGTGTAACACCTTGCACTGTATGAGCCTGTGACGTGCGCAGAGAGGAGTTAACCCTGTTCAAGACCTCTTTCCATGTCTCCTCATTGATGTCAGTACCAATGTCTTGGAACCAGATGATGTGTAGGTTATCAGAGAAAAACTGCAAATTAACAATCATATTAACTAATTTAGAAATTGACCCTTTAGCACAAGGATCCACACCCAGTATGATGTCCAGATCCGAAGGAAGAGGCGCATTTGGAAAGTTCGTAAATTTTTTTACGCACAAAATCTCGAGTTTGTAAATATCTGAAAAAAAAAAAAAAAGGCTTTTGGGGATTTTAAACCAAGAGGTCAACTGATCAAAAGAGGCAAAAACACCTTCAATGTAAAGGTCACCAATACGGACCAATCCAAGGTCTCTCCATGAGGCCTAAGCATTATCCAAGATGGAAGGGTAGAACAAAGGATTGGAGTGTATTGAGGATAATAAAGGGGTATTATGAAGACTAAAATGACGCACAAATTGGGTCCAGATTTTAAGACTGTTTTTTACAATTACATTATTTGAATATTTCATTGGGGTCATTGTACATGGGAGGCATAAAAGGGAGGCCAAAGAGGAAGACTTATTACATGAGGCATTCTCAATGTGCAGCCAAGAAGGTTCAAGTTAGATGAATGGACCCAATGCAGAGTAGAGCGTATGTTCGCTGCCCAGTAATATATTTGAAAATTTGGAAGGGCCAAACCACCCAATTGTTTTGACTTCTGAAGAATGGTTTTTCGAATCCTGGGTTTTTTGTTTTTTTTTGTTCCAGAGAAAACTAGAAATAGAGCTAATCCAAGGTCTCTCCATGAGGCCTAAGCATTATCCAAGATGGAAGGGTAGAACAAAGGATTGGAGTGTATTGAGGATAATAAAGGGGTATTATGAAAACTAAAATGACGCACAAATTGGTTCCAGATTTTAAGACTGTTTTTTACAATTACATTATTTTAATATTTCATTGGGGTCATTGTACATGGGAGGCATAAAAGGGAGGCCAAAGAGGAAGACTTATTACATGAGGCATTCTCAATGTGCAGCCAAGAAGGTTCAAGTTAGATGAATGGACCCAATGCAGAGTAGAGCGTATGTTCGCTGCCCAGTAATATATTTGAAAATTTGGAAGGGCCAAACCACCCAATTGTTTTGACTTCTGAAGAATGGTTTTTCGAA